AAAAAAAAAAAACGCGGGGCGAAAACCCACCTCCCGAATGAAGATGTATATATATATAAATAATAATAATAATAAATATTAATCAAAGAAAAAAAAAAAAAAAAAAAAAAAAAAAAAAAAACGCGGGGGGGGTCTACCACCTCCCCCCCGCGGGGGCAGGAGGAGGAGCAGGCTTGGAAATGGGGGGGGGGAGGAGGCGGAGGAGGAGGAGATTCGAATGCGATTGCGCTGAATGCGGCGACCAAGAGCAAGCCTGGGCGCACGCGACACTCACCCCCACACGGGGAAACTCAGACCTGACTTGGGCGGGAGCCCTCGGGACAATCGAGAGAAGGCCCCCCGCCCTCTCGCAGATGGAGGCCCGCATTCGCACGACAGCTTGCGGGCCTGATCCGCTCCGAACGCTCCGCCCGCCAGACAATACAACGCGCCCTGACGCGCAGCGAGAGTGTGCGGGGGATGGACAGCAGAGAACCAGGGATGGTCGGGGGGTGGGCGGCGCGCCTGCAGGTCCGCCATCACCACCGGGGGCGGCTCGGCGCGCGCGTCCCTATCCGAAGAGGCCTGGTCGAACTCTGACAACGGGGCGCAAATATCTGTCCAAAACTGCGACAGGGGGCCCTTCCGAGGGAAAGAGCGGGCACTCCGAAAACACCGGAACGCGGTACACGAAAGGCGTCATGGCCAGCGGCCAGCAGCCGTCTCTCTCGCCTCAACACTGGCGATGCCCAGCCTCTTGCGGGCAGCCGCGAGACCTTTAGGAGAAGGGACCTCTCGGGAGCAGGCGAGGGACACTTCGCGCTGAACAGCAAGGAGGCGCAACACAATCACGGACAGCATTGATGTCCCGGGATCCCAACTGGACCCGACGGGCGCCTTCATCAGCACACAGGTCGGCAGCATCATTCGAAATGAGCTCCACTCTCGAGGTTTGCACATCATCGATTTGCGCCCGGGGGGGATTTCGTCCGACGGCGATCAACCTGGCCCGAACGCGCCCCGAGACGATCCCAAACGCGGGCCCTCGCCCCTCGCAACATGCCCAGAGGCCCCCCGAAAGCTCCGCACCACAGGGGAAGGTAATCAAAGAACACCAGACTACTTCCTTCCGTGAACGCGAGCAACACCAGCAGGGCGAAGAGCTCAGAGCGCGGGAAGCTCCGACAGGGCGGCAACGTCCCAAAGATACCACCTGTCACTGAAGCTTCGTTGACATGAAGCATAGCAGCACTCCACCCACACCTCCTTAGTCTCCAATCCTCAGTTTCACCGCCCCCCGATCCATCGATCCCCCAGATCCCCCCCCCCCCCCCGCCACAGGAAGGGCCCCTTAGGGAGCTCCGAAGGCACAGGCCGACGAGAGAGGAGCAGGAAGCCCGTTCACGACCTGGTCAAGGGACATCAGCCCTCGACGCCACAGGGAGGGGAGAGACAGGTTCTCCGCGATCGCAATCGGGGCCAGAGACTCTGCGGCCTGAACAGCAGCATCGTCCAGGGCGCGGTTGGCCGTGCACTGCGAGAATCGGTGCACGGGCGTCTCAGGCTGGAGCCCGCACCTGGGACATCTGGGACATGACGAGCAGGCGGCGCACACAGCCTCAAACAAGCGAGTCTCCGCCCAGAACCCCCCCCCCCCCGCGAGAGCATTAAGAACGGCCCGGGGTTCAGAATCAGGGTTTCGCCCAAACTGCTTCAACAGCCGCCTCGCCACGGAGACATCAACACCTCCCTGGACCCCGGCACCCAAGTAGCGCCCCGCAGCTTTTTCCCAGGCCCAACGGGAACAGGTAACCTGGAGAGCCCTCCACAGGCAAAACAAAAAGTCCAAGGCTTCAACAGCCAAGGAAAAGCCAAACTCATCTTGCCTCTCGCGGGGCGGGGTGGGAACCCACTCCAAATCGAAAAGGGCGGCCGCAGTCGCCATCGCTGGCCCCGGCGCCCGCCGCCAACGACAATGGGCAGGGGTACTCAGGCAGAGGTCGACCGCAGCAACCCAAACAATCTCGGCGCGCATACGGTCTCGGAGACCGAGGTCACGCCACAGGTAGGCACAGCTAAGCAACTGCTCATGCCGCAAGCGAAAAAGAGGGTCGCCCGAGCTACTCGACACCAGCGCCAGGACCGCAGTGGAACAGGAGCCTGGGGTCCAACGCCCAGAGCACTGGGCCGCTTGGCCCCTCACCGTTTGCAACTGGCGGGGGGGGGGGGCCGCCCGCCAGTTGATGGCCCCAGGTTCCAACCGACAACGCACCAGGTTTGAAAAGCTTGGACGCCTTCCGATAAATACGGGCCACAGTGGCGACCTTGCCAGCGCGGAGGCGAACGTCAAGCCTCCGCCGTTTGATCTCAGGGACCCCCCGCCTGCTTCCAGCCGTCGCACAAGAACCCAGGTCCCGAGCATTCAACTGGTGACGTATTGGAAGGCCCACGGTCTGAAGGCTACGCGCGAGCTGTGCCCCCACGGCCTGAGAGGAACAAACAAGAGCGCTGATAGTGCTCAGCGCCAGGCCGAGTAGCCCAATCTCGTGCGCAAAGAGAACTGCAGCTGGCAGCAAATGCGTCCGGAGCTCCTGTTACTGGCCAGCCATGGTCTGGGCAATGTCATCGACATAGGCCCTGGTCACCACCCTAGAGGGTTCACCACTTATTTGGCACTGGCACGACTCGAGGGCCCCATAGACATAGATCTTGCAACGCAGGACACACTCTGGGAACATCCAGGCAGGACCCCACGACGCGTTTACAACACACGCGAAACGCTGCCACCAACCTCCAACATGCGGGGGGACGCGAGGATCAGCAAGCCCAGGTACAACAGATGGGGAGGGCAGTTCGCATTAAGGGCCAGTCGGATCATCAACCGCGGGCAGACAGCACCAAACAAATTCCTCACGCCCCAGTGGTGCGCCACCGAGATAGCTCTTTCATGGACCGCACATTCATGGTAGAATTCACAAACCAGCGTGGCCTTCAGGGCAGACGATCCCTTGACCGCCGCGTCCCAGAAGGCGACGCAACCTCACGAGGCTTCCATCCGTCAGCTCCCACAGCGGTGGTGGCAAGGACAAAGTTACACACCTGAACGTCCTGCGCCGCGACGGGGGGGGGCCCTGAGCAGCCTCCAAAGCAACGCCGCGGAAGTCAGACATGGCGACCCCCAACCTCATTATCTCCTCAGGCGAAACCAGCCAAAAGCCCACGCACACGCACAACTGAACCCGATGGCCCATCATTTCCCGTGGCAACTGTGTTTCACCATCGGGGGACTTGAAAAACTCCACGCGTTCTTAGTGTCAAGTTTAAAGCGGGCCTGGACCCCTCTAGCCCCATGGGGGATGGCGCGGATGAGCCAGCCCGCCAGGCCCTTCCCGGCGGCCGCCTTAGCTTCAGCCCAGGAGCGCTTCAAAACCTCAGCGGCGATCTCAACGCGGCGATCCACCATCTCGGGGTCAGCCAAGGCACGACAGGTGACTCGATCGGCCCACCAGGGAGCAGGCTGAGCATCAGGCAAGACGGACGAGAACTCGCCAACCCGAGAGACCATCTCCATGATCAGGCCGTGGACTCGGCACTCAGTGGAATCTCGTCGAAGAACAGTGCGAAGCTCAAACAGCTTAGTAGAGAAATGCGACCAGAACGCAAGAGTCGGATTCCGACAAGCTGTTCCTATTCCCCCCATGTAAGCGATGGCGGACGTGACCAGATGCAGACCAGCACCTCCCCCACACCTCCCTTCATCATCACGGGTAGCAGCGTAAGTACGAGGGAGAGAAACATGCGCTCAATAGCACGTGACCACTGGGAATACTGCACAGAAACCTGCCCATCCAAACGCGCCAGCGCGCGACGAATGAGGCGCGCCAACTGCACTGGGCACTCCGTCTTCATTCACGCGTCGGCTGAACTCATCTGCTGCAACAGGTAAAGCCGTCACGGGAGATCCGGCCCGTAGCAGGCAGGAATGCCACGCGGACGCGCTCGCCGACATAATTTCTGGCCCAAGACGCGGTGGGCAATACGGATTGACAGACACCTGTGAGTTTTGAACGGTGGGGTTTTGTAGACTCCAGCCCGCGCATAGGGAGCCAGATCTTGGGAGACCAGTGCATAGTCAATCATAGTGCCAGACCCCTGCGAGCATGCGAAGTCCACCCCCGCTGGTGCCGCCACTCTAGCATGCGCAGACTGCGGCGCGGATACCCAGAAAGCCACATAGATTCGACATCAACGTTGAAGTCCCCGACCAACACCCAAAGAATCCCAAGGGCACGAAAGAACCCGGCGACATCCGGCACGTTGGACAGGTTTCCCCCCGCGGCCCCTCAGGCACGAAGCAACATTGCAGACCCAACGGCCATGGCCGCTTCCTGAATTTCCAGCTCTAAAAACATCAATCAAGGACCCGAACCAACATCAGTGACACTGCCCATCAGATGAGCCAGGAATCGCATAAAGCACGCGCTCTGGCTAACCAAAATCCCGACACCCCCGCGCGCCCCGCCGCCCCACGCTGGAACGCCTGCCCGCAGATGTGGCCCACAGCCTATCGCGGCGATCTCCCTCTGGGCACGAGGCAGCGCACTCTGCTGCAAACGGCGCCCACAAGAGAGGACATCGGAGCGGCCCAGGAGGCCAGAAGTAAAGTCCTGAACGACCTTCGACCATGAAGTGATGTTACAATACACAAAGAGGACACCTTGATGCTCATCACCAGCATCACCTTGGCACGAAGGAGGCACACCGCGAGGGCGCGTCTGCCCTAGGGGGGGGGGCCAGGGCGTTCGCCGAGCCCCACACACACACACACCACCACCACCACCACCACCACCACCACCACCACCACCCTGCGGCAGACGGACCCCGCCCACGCTGCCAGACAAGCAGCGGCACGGTTCCCGCCCCTCGCGCCGACAGCAGCCCCCGAACGGCGGCCCGCTGCACTCAGAGCGCCCAAGGGCCTCACGACTGCCACTTCCTCCACGACACTTCCCCCTGAGCTTCGAATCCCCAACTGGGGCGCGGCAACAGGGGCGCCTGAGGTGCGCCGCACACGCACGCGAGCACACGCGCACTCAGGCCTCAGACACTCAGCTCACCGATGGAGGCTAAAGAGAGGGTCCTGCAGATACAAGGACAGAGGCGGCCTGCTCGAGAAGCTCAGTGAAGTGCTCGTTGATCTGCTCTTTGGTCGTGCGCAGGCGCTTGGCAGTGCGGTCCTTGGCGCGGGCCATGATGAAGATCTCCATCCGCTGCTGGTCCTCGGCAGTGGGGATATCCTCCTGCCCGCGCTTCCGAAGGGCGCGCAGCTCGTCATCACCAGCTCCTGCATCACCGCCGCCTGCATCACTGCCAGCGTCACTACCAGCATCGTCGTCAGCACTCTGGATGGTGGCGCGCATGGCCACGAACGCCTCCCACAATCCTGCGGGCACGTTGTGCTCGCGCGCCCAGGTCGCAAGCTCGTCCGCCGATTGTGTGGCGAAGTCGGGCGGCTCCACCACCATGGGCGCTGGGCCACCATCATCAGCAGCACGAGCACCTCCAGCGGGGGCAGCGCTGCCGACAAGGCGGACGGGTTCGGCGGCCGCGCGCGCCGCGGTCGCAGCAGCGGGGGGCGCGGCCCGCTGCTGGCGCAGGCGCTCGGCCTCGGCCTCGCGCGCCTCAGCTGCCTTCGCCGTCTTCCAAACCTCAGGGTCGAAGGCCTGCATGGCTCGGTCCGCATCGCGCTGGACCTGCTGGGCGCCGCACTGCGCCTCCTCAGCAGCACGCAGGGTATCACGAGCCTCCTCGAGCTGCTCGCGGAGTTTCTGGGTCTTGGTACGCATGTGCTCGACCTCCTGGCATGCCAACCGAACTTGTCGGGCAGCATCCTCCACCTCCTTGGCCACACAGGTCCGCTCGACTTTCGCCGCCGCGTCGAGCTGCGAGGGGGTGAGCACCATTGCTGGGGGCGCAGGCGGCGCCACCAGGTCTCCGAGGGACTCTTGGAGCTCAGAACGCGCCGCCAACAGTGTGGCCGCGGCGGCACGTAGCTGCTCAGTGTGAGGATCAGACACATGTGCAGCGGGCGCGGCGGCAGGGACACCACGACCGCCTCCACCAGCACCACCTCGATCGACATAGGCTCCACCACACTTCGAGCACACCTCATGCCCCCGATTCGCGTACCCCCACTGGCTGCAGGAGGCGCACACTGTACTGCCCCTGCCTGCGCCTACGCTGGCGCCATCCACCAATTTCATCACGTTGCCGCCCACGACGAGGGCGGTCCTCATCATAATCACGTTCATGTTTGCGCCACGGTGGGGTCCTCGTCGCAGAAGGCCACGTCCAGGGCATCCGCCTTGGCGGACAAGGGAACTGGAAACTCCACAATCGACCCTCGCCCGTCAAGGCGACGAGAGGAGAGTCGAGACACTCAGGTGCCTCGATCCAGACCTGGGCGATCAGGCCGAGAAACGAAATCAAGCCGCGGACTAGCGGTAACCACGCGATCCCCTGTGGAGCAAGCTTCTTGAGGTTACGGAAGGAGGATGAGTAGGAGGAGGAGGAGAAACGAGGAGAAAGGAGGAGGAGGGGGAGGAGAAGGAGGATGTAGGGAGGACGAAGGAGGGAAGATGGATGGGGGGAGGAGGGGGTAGGGAGGAGGTTGGAAAGGAGGAGGGAGGGAGGAGGGAGGGGAGAGTAGAAGGAGGAGCAGGAAGAGAGGAGGGAGGAGGGGAGGAGCAGGAAGAGAGGAGGGAGGAGGGAAGGAAGGACATGGAACATGGATTGGCCTGGGTCTTAAGACCCAGGTCCGGAAAAGAAGGCGGTGAAACACAAGATGCACTAGCCATGGGGAGCACATCTCCCGAGCCGCTCGATCCGACGGGCACACGTACGGCATAGCACCAGATCAGTGGTAGTGTCAAACCGCTGAGCACGAAAGCATTCATGGCAAGGAGGCCTGGAGCCCTGATCAGCGCCACTTTCATGAGAAGCAGCTGGAGGACAAGGAGTGGATCGAAGATGCACCCGATCATCATGAGCACAAGCAGGATCGAGGCGAACAGCAGGGGCTTCACCACGGGCGCCATGCTCATCTTTGCCCACGCGCGACGGCCGAGCGGCCACCTGCGCCCAGTCGAACAGCCTGACAGCCCCCTTCAACATTGCCGAGGCCAGCGCCGCCACGCAGCTGCTTAGCGAAGGCGGGGCCAGCCCTGGATGGCTGACAGCCGCGGTGGTCGAGCGCGTCAAAACAGCGCAGCAAGCGGTGCAGTGCGCGCGCATGCGCCCGGTCGCTTTGAGCGCGGCGCTCAGCAGCCGTGCGACGCGGCAGGCCAGCGGCCACCCACGGGGGCGGAGCCATGGAGGAAGATGGAGGAAGAGGAGGAGGAGGAGGATGGAGGAGGAAGGAGTCTGAGGAGGATAGAGGGTGCGGAGGATGGGAGGAGGGGCGGAGGAGGAAGGAGCAGGAGGAGAAGGAGTACGGGGGGAGGAGGGGCGAGGTGGAGGAGGGCAGAAGGAGGAGGAGAAAGGCCCTCTCCAGAGGCGGCGCTGTCGGCGATCAGACAATCAGACGGTCGGTTGAGAGCTGCCGCGGAGAGCCCACTGAGAGACCGGCGCTCTGCGAGGCCAGCGCCACCGCGGCCTTCAGGGCGAGGCACGCGCTGACGAGGGCCTCGCGGGACTCCTCGCCCCTCATCC